ATTTACAGGAACATTGTGTCCGGTCCATTGTCATCTATAGATATGGTGAGTCAAATGTAACGCCTGGATTGTGAGACGTCATGTTATTAATATCTCAGTCATGGAGACTGTTAATTCCCTATTTGATATTTTTGCTTTTAGTTTCGTCAGTAGCTTGATGAAAACTTTCCCAGAACATGAATGGGGTGCCGTAGTCCAATTTAGTAACCAACATGCTCCCCAAACCTCACGACTCCAGATTTCTTTCTTTGGGGGATCATGATAGACCCTTGCATTCAGTAAAATGACAATGTTTCTCCAAAACTCTATTATCCTTGATTTCAAAATTTGGAGAGGCTCTGTCTTTTAACATCCTAGTCACTCTTTCCTACTACAGTGTAACCCGGATGTAAGAGAGTTGTCAGGACAGGAGAAGAAGTCTCTTATATCCGGGTTTCTCTTATATCCGGGTTTGGTCTATTTTGTTTAGGTAAGTATGGGAACAAGTTGGGACCAGAGAAAATCTCTCTTATATCCGAGTTTCTCTTATATCCGGGTCTCTTATATCCGGGTTACACTGTATTTGGAAGATTGACGCAGTACAGTCTTCCCATTCCATTTCGCCATGTGTCACTTAATAGAGAAGCTTTCAACTTAAAGATATATAGTTAAATGTTTATTGAAACACGAAGTTATATATGTATGATCGTTTTCTTGCCGCAAGACAGTTTTCCTATCCATTGTCTTCTTTGAGTTAATTGTATTAAAGAGGCTGAGTATATATATATCCTTACACACTGAATAGGAACCGAAATAGTTTGGTACACTCGAGTATTCTTTGTTTATTACTAAATTTGTTTAGCCTAATAATCATAGTTATTCCGCAGGCAGTTTTATATTTATCGATTTGTTTTGTCTGTCTCTCTGACGATCTGTCTGTCTGTCTGTTTCTCTGCCTATCTGTTTGTCTGTCACTGGTTCTTGTTTTTTTTAATTCTTTATTCTATCGTTTTTTTCTCTTAATTTTTCATCAAAACGCAAACACTCGAAAACATTTTAAACTTCTTTTTTTCGTATAATGATTTGAAAATCAATCAAGTTTTCTTGCGTTTCAATCACTTCATATATCGATTTGAGCCGATCTATATCCTCTTCAGCACGCATATAATCAGGCTGATAAAAAATCTCAATTAAAAAAAAGAAAACAGCTATCGACCAAAGTCTATGATCCTGGTGTTTAAACAGTACTGATGCCCTTCCTTGCATCTGCATAACATATAAAATAAAATGTAAATGTTGTATTTGAATAATCCTGACCCCGGAGAAAAGTTTCGTGAAGGTCAACGAACAACATGGACGGAATATTTTCATGGAACAGACAGGAATTTTCCCGCCATATAACACGCGTCTGCAAATAATACACAGCTAAAGCTATAGGAATGTTTGGGAGGTATGAATATATTTGCTTTGGTTTGGTTTGGTTTAAGGCATATCAACCTCAATAGATTATTTAATGCCGACAAGAATTTTTTATTGTTGATAATATTTTTTTTCAAAAATGTATTGCTGATAAAAAATTTTTTTCCAAAAACTATTGCTGATATTAAAACCTATTTCTATACTTTCATGGTTTTTTTGACCACTTTTGGGGGATTAACTATATGCTGGGACCCCAGAAGGTACTAACACCTAGATAGACCTGAGAACACCAGCAATTAAGAAGTGGTTCAACGCTCTTCGAAACCTCTTGATCAAAGGCCTTGCTGTCGGATGTAGTCTATCGTCTTACCCAGGACGCGGATGTAGTTTATCGTCTTACCCAGGACGCGGATGTAGTTTATCGTCTGACCCAGGACGCGGATGTAGTTTATCGTCTGACCCAGGACGCGGATGTCGTTTATCGTTTTACCCAGGACGCGGATGTAGTTTATCGTCTGACCCAGGACGCGGATGTAGTTTATCGTCTGACCCAGGACGCGGATGTAGTTTATCGTTTTACCCACGACGCGGATGTAGTTTATCGTCTGACCCAGGACGCGGATGTAGTTTATCGTCTGACCCAGGATGAGAATGCATTTGTTCGTCAACAGATCCATTTCCAAAATCTTTCTGTTTTTTAGATGCCACTCCAAAAGTCAGCAAAAGGAAAATGAATAGAGTAGAAACTTTTACCGCCATTATTTATTCTGAATCACATAAAAGGCAAAGGTTGAATGTTAAACTGAAAATGTTTTGCAGGATCAAATTTGAAGAACTTTTGATTAAGATTTTTTTTTTTTTTTTTGAAAATCTAAACAATTCGAGAATAGTTCCCAATATGCAAATGGGGTGGGCTTTCTTTCTTTAACTCCTTTTGCTTTTACTCAAGATTATTCTTCATTTCGTAATCATTTCAGGACTTGAGCGATTTTCGTCACCAATTCTTATCCTTTTTTTTGATTTAAGCAATATTTGTCGCTCTATTATATCTCTCTTCTAACTTCTGACTTAATGTTTCTCTTTGTCCTCCTTACATTCAATAGGCACTGTGAGTATCAAATTTTCCAAGTCTTCTTTTCTCATTATTTGTCTCAGAATTTTCAACTGATTCTAAGTGACCTTTTCGTTTCCTTTTTTCTAAAATCTTCCTCGTTGTTCGCACGCTCTCCGTTCATAACATTCTCAGCATCCTTCTGTAGAAACACATTTCTGTCGCTTCAAGTCGCTACTTCCTCTGTCAGAAAATTTTCCAACATTCAGTGTTATATAGTGTTACATATATATATATTCAGACTGATTAGTTGTGGTACAGCGAAACAGATTGTCTGTAGATGACAATATATATATATATATATATATATATATATATATATATATATATATATATTGTCATTCACAGACAGACTGTTTCGCTGTATCACAGCTAATCAGTGTAGCTAGACGTCCGGTTGCCTCTAGTTAGGATCGAAACCCGACTGAATTGGCGTCATTCGGGCATTTTACCACTAAGCCGTTGGCGCACGGATGAAGGTGAATTTAAGCGTATTTATTTTTAGATAAACACACAGTGACTGAGAGAACTCAATTCGATTTAACAAAGAGTCTTGCATTATTAGCTGTAATAATCACTGTTTACAAACCCACACTTCCTCCCCAGAGAGCTCAACCGAAATAAGACTTCGTTTCGTTATATATATATATATATATATATATATAAGGTCCTCTTTTATAGCCAGCTTGACAGTGGACAAAAGACTGTTGGATGACCATGACAAGCTAAACAGTAAAGACGCTAAACAGTAACCTCTCAGCTGTCATACTAACTTTGTGCGAATTACCCTTGACAGAAATAACTGGAGCTATTTGTACCAGAGTGATATCAGAAATTATAAGATTGGCTAAGAGACGAAAGACAACGGCGATTTACGTAGAATTTCAGCTTTCTTTTCTTTCTTTCTAACAATGTTTTCCTGTTTCTTAATACTTTGTTTAGCTTTTAGAAGGCATCGTTCAGTGTTGCTATATCTCGACAGGTTTTCCCATTTAGCTAAATTTATGTAGTGGCTTGTTTTCGACGTCTTCAGTTCTTCCATAGCATCTTAAAAGTTCCTTATAATAATGAATATACATTCTCATTTCTTAGAATTGGTTAGAATTCTTCCCGTTTTCTTTTACTTCATTATCTAAGAGTTCCTGTAGCTTTCATTCTGTGTCTGTCATTAATATAAAGTCTTTTGTTTTACTGAACATTCACCCAAAAGAAGATCCAAGATTAACTCAAGGCAGAGTGTTACTGAATGGATAGTCGTAAGAGAAGGAAGTCAGTATAGATTTATGAGACTAGAAAGTGGGAAGAAAGGACTAACCAATTGTAAGAAGAGATAATACATTCTACGACTTTCACTATTTACATTATTCGGACTATCGTTCCCATCTTTGTTGCAATATTTATCACAACGTTTCGACCGTTGTACGCTCCAGCCTTCTTCAGTTTGTTGGAATGTCGAACTGTACCCTTTATTTCGCTCGCTGGGGTGGACTATTCTAGTTCCACGTGCCATGTCAGTTATCAGTTATCCCCTGTTAATTCCCCTCTCTAAGTTCTCCACCGCCTTAACCAGGGATTGAACTCACACATAACTCATCTCAGAAATATAGACAGTCAACGACTTTCATCTAAATTCTTTATAATTTTTTATCTTCTCATAGTCGTAAAATTCCATCTCATTACAGTAATCTTGACTTAGGTCTAGTCACTGGTATGCCATAGTTGTAGAAAAAAAAACGAATGAATGTGTTAATGTTTATTTGAACCATACTTTACGGGTTTATTTTGAAAAAATAAAGGAAACTGATATATCTTTTCTCAATTTTGACAGATACTCCTAATATATTCTCAGAAAGTTATGTTGACTGAAGAATTTCGAAAACAGGTCCGAAGACACTAATATTTACATACTTGGTTTTATAAAAAAAGTCAGTATATTTGGAAAAAAAAATGTAAAAGAAGCTTATATATATTTTGTCAGTTTTGACAGATACCGTAAATATATTCTCACTAATGCTGAGTGAAGACTTTTGAAAAATATCCGAAGACACCTGGTTTCAAAAGTTCATTATTAAATAAAGAACAAGACCAGCCGATTTTCTTCATATTTTTCAGTCGATTTTTGTCTTGCAGTTCCTGTCACGGCTCAGTGGGGACACAGACCCCCAGTTTACACTGAACACCTTAGTGTCGAACTATATTCGATTTGTTCTATATTTAAACTGGCTCTGTTCCAACCTCCCCAATTTTATCCGGATGTACTATGGTCTTCTCCTACTTGTTCTCTTACCCTAACGAATATATATATTCGCATCAGATGACGTCTTCTTGATGGCGTTAAGCGCTTTGGTATTTGTGAATAGATCGATAAGGCGACGAGCCGAGGCTACATCGATTGATTAGTCGACAGCAGAAATATGGACGGTGGCAGGTCTTAATATAAAAATGTCATGTGAACAGAAAGCGTCTGAGTTAGGAGGTTTTGCAGGCAATG